TAAAATTTATCTTGCCAATTATTTAATTTTAATTATGTCTTTTATAAAATTTTATTATTATATTATAACAATATAGATATGAAAGTCTACGTTAAGAAACTTTTGGAAAAAAAAAAGTGAGTTGGAATCTCTATATTTGTTAAAAGAAAAAAAAGAGGGTTTAGATTGTAACTTTTGATTTATAAAAAGGTTATTAATTAATCTATGGAAATTGGTATTTTCTGGTATAAATTGTTAGGTTCTAAAAATTTATGATGCAATCTAAAATTGAGTTTTAGAAATTAAAAAAAGATTGAATTTTATTTTTTATTTTTAACATTTGATTATAATTTTAAAATAATTTCTAAATGTAGATTATATCTAAAACAAAAAAATCAATCAAGGCGAATTAAAATAAATATTATTAAACACTTCACGCAAACAAATAACGACTTAATCTTGTTGAGTTCAACAATTAATCTTGTTGAGTTCAACAATTTTAAGTGTGAAGGATCGTAATAGGTATTTTGAACTATATTCAAATTGCAAACAAATAATTAACATATTTATTAAAATAAATTCAAACATTGATAGTAGGACACAACGACACACATTTATTCCATTACTTTATTGAAACTAATAAATCTCTTTTTAACACATTTGATTTTTTTAAAATATAATATTACAAATACGTGAGGGTAGAGCTTTCAAGTGGTAAAAAATACTATCTTTTTTGTTTCCATTAAAAGCTTATAGAGACATTTGATACGTATGCAGTTATATAACAAGTTCTTATACGATAATCTCTTCGTCAGTGCTTCCTTCCGAAGAGTTATTATGCAGTTAAATCAAGTTGTTGTGGTTCTAAGTTTAGAATGGTATTATCTTGATTGATCTTGAGGTAGCTATAGAGAGATAGTTGAGATAATTAAGTTTCACTCGGCAATTAGATAATGACTACAATACTTGAGAGAAAATATTTACTATGCCATGACAAATGAAGATAACTTTTTTTGAATTTTTAATCATTCAACCGAAGGGGATTGTAATCATTTTTGTTGCAAAAAACTTATTAAAAGGTTGTCTCACATGTTTTTTAATTATTTTTGTGGTCAACTATTTCTATTATTATGAGCTTCATAATCTTTTTTATACATGGATAATACTCTTTAAAGAAGAATATTCTTTTTAAGATTTTCAGACGCCATTAATTTCTTAAAAAAAAAATTATATATGTTGTCTCTAAACGAGCATGTTAGATTTTCAAAATCATTTTCACCCACCAAATGTCATCAAACAAAATAAAAAATTTACAAAACATGTAAAAATTTACAAAAACATGTAATCATTTCAAAGTCACAGCATGTGTGAGCGGAGAATCAAATTTACAAATCTTTTAGTTGGAGATATATGTCAGTTACCGCTAAGTTATGTTCGCTTTGACGGTATAATTACAATTACTCGGAGGAAAAAAGGTTTATTAGTAAAGTGATTTCATAATTATTAAATTTTTGTTTTGTTTTCAACATTGATTTAAAAAATATGTGCAGTTTAATTAATGACATGTGAAGGACAATATTATTGTATATTAAAAACTTGTCATATTTGTTTACTACTTAGATTCTTTTCATATTTATTTTACTTATATTATATGATTCAAAGTTGATTTCTTTTACAAACTCAATGTAGGTTATTTATATTTAGTAATACACTAAACTATTACAATGTGTTTTTTTAGATTTATCTATCAATCCATTCAAATTTCAGTTATTTTTAATTATGTTAGGTTAAAGATCTCACCTAAAAAAAATTAAGGAACTTAACGGTGTTTATAACTAAAGGTGCCACTCATTTCATTGCTAATTAGTTTTTTAGATGAAACCCTATAAATATTAAATGGTACTAGAATCCAAAAACTCAAATGAGCACCCAGTCCAAAAATAAAGAGATCCGATAGGGACTTAATGGTGTTTATAAATACATGGATTATTTCTCTTATTGTCAATTTATTTTAAAATAGAATCCCACTAATATTAAAATTGTCTAGATTCACAAAATCATTACTTATAAGTCTATAGTTTTTTTTTTCCATAAATAGTAAATCTCAATTGTTTTATAAGTCGTTCATGAAATTAGGCAAAAACAAATAAAAGAAGACAAATCCTAATTTTGGAAAGAAAAAATATTTAAGCCATTCTAAAATACAACCAATAAAACTTGTTTTATTTTACTTACTCGTGAAGGGTTCAAATTTATAGTGTTTATATTTTCAATAAGCCTTAAAATTAGTGTCTATCAATATTTCCAGGAACTCTTAAAAATAGTCTATATCACTAGTTTATGGTTAACTGTTGTTAAAAAAAAAAAGATATTTAGAAGTATTCTAAATTTGAGAAATATATTCACATTGTACTTTTTTTTAAATAAAGAAACTACTACTACTATATATCATTATTATATATTTTTTTGGCAAGTCAAATAAAAGTAACTTCAAAAATAGCAATGCTAACTTAAGAATTATTGAAAATATAGAAATTAAATTTAGACCTACAAAAGTACCAAGACTAAAATATAATAAGTCTTAAAAGTATAGAGAATAGAATGGTATTTTAACCATAAATAATTGATACTGGACAGAAAACTAGTACAAAACAAGAAAACAATTCTAAAAATAGTGATTCAAATATTATTTATACATTTTTGTTCTTTGTTTATAAAAGGGACAAAGGTATATTAAAGTATGATAAATTTATAAATTAAAAAATGGAATTTAATATATATATATATATATATATTAAAAGTTTGATGAATTAAAAAGTGGTAGTTGGTGACCGGGGGATCCGGCGATGTTGAGTTGGAGCGATGGTTTGTTGAGCTGACACGTGGGATTTTCCCAATTTAGAAACCTTAAAATGCCCAAATAAAAACCGGCTGCTTTGCTTCTTCGTCTTCTTTCCCCATCCGCACAAAACAGAGAAAGAAAGTGCGGTGGAGTGTCGACGTGGCCCACGTGACGTGACTGTCGCAATAAAAAAAACAATAATAATTATAAAAAATGCCATGGCGGTGCCCCTACCTCTCAAATGAAATCATGATAATATCTTTGACGAAAAAAATGGGGGAAAAAAGTAACTCATTGAGTTCGTTGGACAAATGAGTAGTCCAAACTCCCGCCAATAGAATAGACTACCGTGAAATTAAAAATCAATTTCTTTAAATTTAAAGATCATTATAAAGAAAACCTATATTTTTAGTGGATCAAATAGTTATTATTATTTAAAAAATCGACGGTTGATCTCTTACTTCTATAAATGTTGAATTAAAGATTGTCATAAAAAATTATTTTAGATATTTTTATTGTACTCTAAAAATATCAAAGAAATATCAATCAACACATAACATGGTAGATTAAATATTTATTACCATGTTAAAGTTAATAATTTGATCTCCTACTCCAACAATAGTTAGAACTAAGAAATTTCATAAGAAAATCTCTGTTAATTGATATTTTTATTGCGCTGTAAAAATATTGAAGAAATATCAATCACCATTAATAGAATATTATTAATGTGGATAAATTATTCAGAATTTTAAATTTATTTTAGCTAGTCTAATAATATTTAGACGTACAATCCAAATTATTATACAATTCTTAAAATCTACTCGCAAACTTCATCGTCCTCCCCCATCTAAGACTTTCACATTATACTTCAATTCAGACCCATAAAATAATATATTCTTACAAATTAAAAAAATGAGAAGAAAAATTTGATAGGTTTAATATATTGTATATATGTTTGTGTAATCTTGCCCTCCTTTCAAAGAGCCCATGAAACACATGATGATCATTTTTTTTAGAGGACCTCCCATCCAAAAGAGGAAGCATAAGAAATAGGATAAGAAGAACAAAAGTGGTGAGAGAGAAAAAACAATGGTATTAAATATCCAATATATGAATTAAATTTATTTAATCAATCAGCTGAAGCTTTTGAGTTGAATGTTCGTTTATTCATTCTTAAGATGGTATTAGAGCGGGGAGTCCTATGTTCGAATCCCTGCATTGTCGTTTCCTCCCAATTATATATTAATTTCTACTTGTTGGGTCTTGTTGAATGGTCGTGAGAAGGTCCTGTATTCGAACTTCTTTTGAGTTGAATGGTCGTTTAAAGTAAATATAGAAAGTCCATATTCCCCTGTCGTTTAAAGTAAATATAGAAAGCTCATCTACGCAAACCGCCATTAGTTTTGCTATCCTTTCATATGATGGCTGGCCCAAATATACTTAGGTGTCACCCACAGCAACTGCTTGCTCGTATCCTCGACTCACCTAATTCGTTATCCACATGAATAATATTTAGGTACTTATCGGTAAGTATGGTTCAACAATGAAAAAATTGACAACTAGTTTTGTTTTTTTTTATAGAAAAAGAAAAAACCTACTTTCTCTTAATCCCTTTATACATTTTATCTCTTAATTGTCAATTTTTTAAAAGTGCTAGATAGTGAATACTTATTTATTGAGTAAATAACGAAATATTATTTTATCCGCAAATTTGGTCTAATCCATGTATGGGCCTACCTAAGTTTCTACTTGACAGGATATTTCATTGCCTATAACAACCATATTATAAATGTTATCTCAAAAGGGGAGAGAGGGAAAAAAAAAGGGGTATTCTATGGATACAACAGGAAATACGAAAAAAGTAGGAGGGCAAATTCGGGAAGACGCAGCGTTGTTCTAACTACACACACAAAATATCTCTCACACCCACCCACGACCACAAAGCAGATTTCCAAAAAGGACGAAAATAAGAGTCTCCGTATCCCATAGCCCACGCGTCGATGATCGATACCACGGACGGCTCGAGCCCCGAGGAATAAAATAAGTTACTAAACTCGCGTTCTGATTGGGCCACGTGGCCCCCATACGCATGAACCCGCTAGTGGTCCTTCCCGCACTGGAAAGAAACCCAGAGGCTTGGGCCCTCCACATGGACGACGCAGACCTTCCATATATGGTGCTGCGGCAGCTGGTCATGCCTGATGATGTGAATCTGCTTCAGTACAACGCTCCGTAAAAAGACGTCGATTCTCGATTCTGTTTGATCTTCTGCGCTGCCTTGACTCCAAACAACCACCACACTCCTCCGCAAGTAAGTTACGATTTCCTGCAAAATTCCTGCGCATTTTCTCTTTCATTCACTGATGCGTCGTTTTCTTCTGTGTTCATCGTTTTTCCTCTATTTTCGGATTTTTTCTTGATTTCACGCTGTAAATGTATATATATCTCTCTTCGTTATGTGCGTTCGAGGAAGAAAAGTGTATAGAGCTATTGTATTTTATGGATTTGGTTGCGATTTTCCTTGCATCTTCGTTACTTGTGAAATTTACTGGAGTTTTGTTATTTTCTGTAACTTTTCTCGGGGAAAAAATGGATAGAAGAATCAAGCTGCGGATCTGAGCATGGGGAGAGGCAAGATTGTGATTAGGAGGATCGACAATTCGACGAGCAGACAGGTGACTTTCTCGAAGCGTAGGAACGGACTGCTGAAGAAGGCGAAAGAACTTGCGATCTTGTGCGACGCGGAGGTAGGAGTCATCATCTTCTCCAGCACCAGCAAGCTCTATGAATACTCCAGCACCAGGTTCTTACAATTTTCATCTTCTTCTGCTTCTTCTACTGTTTGCCTTTATCTTCGTCTACTTTTCTCCGTCTGAATTATTGATTCGTTCCGTACTCCATTATAATATAGATTAATCTCCAGTACGACAAAACATTGGTAGCATCGCTTTTATCTTTCACCTGATTTTTATTCATTCTATGGCGAGTGTGCACCTTGAGTCACGATTATGACTGTACACTTTATCGTAGATTGAAATTTGTGCATACTGAGAAATAKAAATTCTCGAGTCATACAACCTTAGGTTTCAGGTCAGTCTCTTGTCCTTCTTCGTGATTTTATGAGGCTCAGTTCTGTCATTTGCCTTATTCTGCTGGCTACAGCTTTCCAATACTCCACTCATTAACTCGATTGGCATATATCGAGTATCTTTGGAGATATTATTGGCTGCCAGAAACTTTAGTAATTTTCTTATAGGATGGACGGCCGATATTGCTAGTTTTGTTGGCTTACTTTTCCTAGAGAAGATTGAGTTCGATAAGCGGTCAAAAGAGGAGCTATCAGTCCAAAAAACTACAATTCATTCGAACTATATACATTAGTGTTCAAAGATCCAAGTAAACAATGTCGTAAACAACGGTAATAGTTAGAGTAGAGATTTCCAGTGTTGCTATTCTTGCAACACAATGATCATGCAGGTGGTTTAGAATTGAAAAGGAAGAGGGTGAGAATACTCAGTAGAGAGATATAATGACTTCTCGAAATAGAAAATTGCAGCTCCGTCTGAGAAAACATAGATGATCGTGCGAGAAAGCACGTACTATTCTTCTGTAAACAATCGAGTGCAATATCTCGATCGATGGAGATGAAGGTCGTGCGCGATACTGGAAGGATAACCAGATCGATTTGCACCATATGATCAATATCATCGAAGTGGACGCCAACCGAGTCAAATTGCGTTAACATGCGCTGGTTGGAAAAGTGGATTTCTGAGATGTTTAAGTTTAAGAGTGGGATTTACACAAGCCAATTAACCAGTCAAAATTTGTCAACAGTTCATTTAGTTGGTCTATAAACTGTTATAGTTCCGCCCCAAATTATTTCTGAACCCATCCATTGGAGTTTAAAGGAAAGCACCGAATCTTATATTAGTTAAGAGTGTAGAAATAAAAGAACGCATAGTTCTGGACTTCAACTTATATACTGAAGAATGAATAGACACTAATACCTCCTTCTTCTATAGCTTTAAAGTACTTCTTCCACATTCCTTGATATTCTTAAAAGGAAAAAGATTTAAGGTTGAGAAATAGATTTAAAAATTTCGAAGGGAAGTACTCATAATCAGTAAAAGATGAATGATGGATGCTGATCGGTAGGCGCATAAGACATGTACAAAAGGTTGGTCTCGCACAGCTGACATGTTGTGTGGTTCAATTTGTGTACTAGTATCTTATGAGGTTTACTTCTTAAGAATAATTATATTTAGAATTTTTGTTTCCTGCTTTTGAAAACAGTTAAAAAAAAAAAAATATCACGTATTAAAAAGACTATGCATTATGCTATTAATAACTGTTCATGGTTACTTATATTCGAAAATTTTATACGGTCTTCTTTTCCTAAATTGTACTCCAGATATTTCCAGACCGTTTTCTACATTTTATAAAAACAAGCATACATTTGCTTTTCAAAACTCATAAAATATTTCTCGAACTGATTCCTTCTAAATAAACAAGCCTCGGCCTTCAAATGTAGGCCGTGATATTGTTTTATCTTCATCGAGTATTAATTAAGAAAAGAAAAATCGTTTGACTAAGACCGAATTTTTCATACAAATATATTATTTGAAACTAAAGTAATGTTATTAAGGTCTTAGTCGATACTGCTGATTTAATTGTTATCTTTTTCTAATAGAAAAATAATTGTTTAATTTGTTTTCCATTTTTGTCATGGAAAAATATAAAATTTTTGTTGTACGTAGGAAATAATATATTAAAAGAAAAAGAAAAAGAAAAAGAAAAAAGGTTACAAATGATTTTAAGGATTTTTTTTTTAAAATCTGCTTATGAAGTCTACCTTTTTCTTTCTATATGTAACAAATACGAGATTTGAACCATCAATCTCAATATATATGTATATTAATAATTAATGTCTTATCTTATGAAGTCCTATTTAGTCTTACAAATATAGAAATTATAAGTTAGCAACTTAGTAATATGCTGCTTGTGTCTTGGTCTGAATCTCTCGGCGTGGTCAATGAGTTGAACTCAATTGATCAAGAAGAATGAACGAATAATGTTGAGATCTTAGCATTTTTGCACTCTCCCAAGTGCCTTCAAACATATGTGTTTAAGTTGAACTCAATTGATCAAGAAGAATGAACGAATAATGTTGAGATCTTAGCATTTTTCACTCTCCCAAGTGTCTTCAAACATATGTGTTTAGTTCTTTCGTTGTTAATCACCACTCCTCCAAAACCATCACCACTATTCTCTTTTCAATGGAAAAAATATTTAGCTCCTCACCACTTAGGACCAACCTTGTCTTAACAAACATTAAATGTTTCACTACATATTATTTTTCGAAAAATACTTAATACCTCAACAATAAGAAGGAACCAACCTTCCTAAACACTATTAAATGTTTGACAACTAAAAGAGAGAAATGTAAAATAAACTTTAAAAAGAAAAGAAAAAGTTGTCATAAGTTCCTCTTAATTGTTACGGAGCTAAATATTTTCTTAATTTTTTCAAAAGTTTTCTATTTTCTCATTTCTCTATCTTAATTATCAAATATTTAATAGTAATAAAATAAAGATGAGTACGAGTCGATTACTTTACATTGGAAAAAGGATTTTATCCCATCACCATTCATAGGAAGTCTTGTCCTAGTAGAAGGTCGTGGAGGGGTCACCCTTCCCCGTTGGTTTCTTCTTGAAAAGCAGCTTATAGGAGAGATACACCGTTTTAGGCTCATGTGAAAACAATAAACATTAGGAATGATAATTTTGCCCAAAGATACATTTTCCATAATCCATTGAGTTTAGTATATGTTGTATGATAAACAAAAACAAACTCTTCTATGTGTCTGGAAAACATTAGTGAGGCCAAGAAAAAACTTTAAATAGATTGAAAGGAAACTACTGAGGCAAATCTTTTCATGATCAATCACTACCTTTTCTCTCTATTAGGAGTCATAGTTATCCTTTATGGTTGGTTTTTTTTAGTTCAACAATTCTTCTTACAGTTAGTTATTTGCATTAGATGAAACATTAAGCTTGTCTCTTTTGAATAATTATTCTTACATTTCCTTCAAACTACAAAGAGATATTATTATTTTAATAAAGGATAAAGTTCAATAATGTAAAATAGTAACCCGCTTTAGAACATTCGAGAATGTTGGCTAGTAATTAAGAAAAATGAATCACTCCTAGGTAAAATTATAGAACACACTCACGTTAGTTAGTAACATGTCCAAATATTATTGATACTCATGGGAGGTTATTGAAGAAATATTAGTAATCATCAGAACTTTACAGACCGTAGTTGATAAAACTCAAAGAGAAACTGCATATATCTCTTAAAAAACGTGAGAGATATTTTTAGTAATATTTTCTATAGAATTATTAAAATCTTAAAATAAAACTCAAACTTAAAACTTTTTAAGTAAGAATATAAAAGAACATGATCAAACACATATATATATTTTTTATTTTTGACATAATTTTATATATATATTTATTTAACCCTTTAAAATTAATTTTAGCTACTAAACTAATCCAGACACTTACGAAAATACCATTAAAACTATATAAAAAAAATAGTCTCCCTAATTATATCAAATCCACCCTTAGTCTATAAGCACAAGGATTAATAAATTGTAAATAGAACACCGGTAGGATTCAAAAACTCTTCATTAGACACTACTGCATTTGAAGCTGAAATACATGAAGTATTAACTTCTAAAATCAGTTGGACACCAAAGTTTACCTTTTATATAGGAATATTGTTTTTCCTATCATTGTGCCGTATCTACAGCGGTCAATTGCTTAGTCATATCACTATACCAGAAACCGTGCCAGTATGATAGATAAATTGCCCTTTTTTAGTTGATTCATTCTATCTAATTTTCTAATGTCTGCTTGTTTTAGTTCAAAAATTAATTGAACATCATATTTAAATAATGATATTAAGTATAAAATGAAAGAACCAAAATCAAATCAAATAAACCACTATAATGTTAAGTAAGGTACTAGTATTTTAACCTCATTTTTTTTCCTCACTATTAAAGGAGAAACCATCCAAATCTATCAAGATGAACATAATTGTAAATGTCTAAACATAATTAATACACAAAAAAGTTTAAAGTTTTAAACACAGTTAAAGGTTACAAAAATCTTAATAGAAAATATAAACTTACTTAAAAAAACGAAAAAACATGCAGTAAAGAAACCAAAACATATGAATTAACCGCAACGCGGATTGGATGAAAAATTGGAACTTCTCAACATAGCTTCCTAAGATCACAGTCAATCCAGTGCCAATGGCAATAATCCAAGGGTTCACTCTTCCCTTTGTAGCGGCTATTCTAAAAGCTCCTCCCTCATAACAGCGACTGAATTGGAATGGCCGGTCGGGAAGTGCTGAAGTTATGGATACAAATGCTCCGCAAATATTATGTAGAAGAACAATAAACTATATGTTTTTCGAATTTTTCGTACTTATGTTTTTATATTAATTACTTAAATATTGTCATCATGTATTTTAAGTTTCTTACTCACATACTATTTTAAGTTTCTTACTCACATACATAGATTAAAAAATTTATACAGTTACTAGTTCCGACATGAACCTTGCATGTAATATTTTGGCAACTACATTTTATTTTTTGTTGTTTTATAAGGAAAAATAGAGAGAAAAGTTAGAGTGATAAAACGATAAACAAGCGGAGAAAATTTATAGATACAGAAATGTTGGAAGAAGAAAAGCTAGAGACAAGAAATGGAAAGATAAAATTAGAAGGAAAAACTTATAGAGAGACAGTGAAAAATATGTTAAATTTTTTTTTAAAGGTAAAAAAAAAAGGTAAAAAAAAAAAGTTTTACAGACATCATGAAACAGATAAAATTAGGAAAAAAAAAGTAAAGAGCGAAAACAAGGAGAAAATTTAAAAGATTTTTAGAGAGGGAAATGAAAAGTATTCAATAAGAGAGAAGAAATTTGTTGAAATCAATTTAGAAAAACTCGTTTTGTTTTGTTTTTAACTTTGGAATATAATTTTAAAAACTATTTTTCAAATGGAATTGATTAGAAAATCCAAAAACTTAAAAACAAAAAATGAAAATGAAACATTTATGGAGATGACATTTAATTGATAGGGGCTTATAGAAATCGAGACCTATATTTTAATTTTATTATTTGTCAAGTTCAAAGAGTATTCATAAATTTGTACAAGATCTTAGAAATTTTAAATAAATATTCTGTCTGTTTATGATGTAACAAAATATTCCAAGAAAAGATCACATAATATATCTTGATATAAAATTTTTGATCGAGAATCATCAAATGAAACTTCTTATCTTAGATGTAGTATAATAAAGCAAGAAGAATTAGTTATAAATTAAATGCCATCCCAAATATTAATGTCAACTTTACACTTTAAATCTTTTAAATGTTCTATCTCATTCTTTAAGGATTATGCATCCATTTAACACTTCCACTCTATTCTTATTTTCAACAATATTTTGGGGTGAATTATTAGATAATAAGAATGCTTAAGTTGCACAAATCTAGTTAAATGATAATATGTAGTTATCAAATAATCTATATAACAAAACCACCACATATTCGGTTGAGATATAAATTAAGAGCTATAAAGTCAGCACATCCACAAAATCTTTATTGAAAACAAATTCTCTTTAAAATCAAGTGAAAAACATCACCTTATTACAATGGATTTTGAGATTGATTATACAATATGCCAAAAAGAAACTTTCCTGATTAAAAACACTCAGAAAATTTTAAAACCTTTTACAAAACACTTCCATGTAATTTGGAAGAAGCCATCAATTATAATTACTTTATTTTAAAAACAATGTAATAAAAAGTTAAAATTTAGCATTTTAAATTACTACAATTTAGATGTTATGAAAATGTATGGAGGCAATTATCAAGGATGTGGCCACTGAACAGTGTAGAAATTGAACATCCAATCATGAATTCATCAATCATAAAAAGAGTACAAAATAGATAAAATAATATGAGACGAAAAAAAAAACATAATCGTGAATCTCCCTCTACAGAAAAACAAAAGTATACGGCCTTACCAAGTTTGCTAACTAATTTTTTTACTGTCTTTCAGGAAAAAAAATTCGAAACTATGGCAAATTTCAAAAAATTCGTAAATAAAAACTTGATTTTTTTTTATTAAAGAAAATAAAAACTACAATGAAAGAATAAATTTTATCAAATAGAAAATTATAAATTATTCACCTGCCTTTTAAATTTCAGGATGTTTGATATTGGAAAAGAGTTCTTTAAGCTGAATGAGTCAAAACATGCTTTTATGAAGTACTTTTCTATTTTAAGGTCTTTTTTTCCCCATAATTAGGATGTCCACCAGGTCTTAAAAATACTGTAGTTTAAGAAATTTGGGCAGGTCCCAATAATGGAGGGTGAAAATTCCTGTTATGACTGCGAGGCCCTA